TTTCTAAATTAAAGACTTTCACCATAAATTTATTTTAGGTTTAAAATTAATTAAAAGATCCTCCAATAATATTTAATTTGCACCTTAGAATTTACCATCAAAATATTTGAGATTGTAATATTATTATTGTTATTATTTAATTATTTACTTAATTTTTATATTTGGGTTCTCACATATGGGGGAGCAAGGCTACATGAAAACTACTTTTGACCATTGCGTATTTGTGCAGAAATTCTCTGATGATGATTTTATTATTTTACTGCTCTATGTTGATGACATGTTGATTGTTGGCAGGAATCCTTCAAGAATTGACAAATTGAAGAAACAACTAAGCAAGTTCTTTGCCATGAAATACTTGTGGTCAACAAAGCAAATTCTTGGTATTTGAATCTATCGAGACAGAAAATAGAAGAAGTTGCACATGTCACAAGAGCAGTACATTAAAAAAGTGCTTGAATGATTCAATATGAACAATGCTAAAGTGGTTAGCTCACCTCTTGCTACTCATTTTAAGGTAAGCACTAATCAAAGCCCTTCTACAAATAAAGAGAAGGAAGATAAGGAAAGAGTTCCATATGCCTCAGCTGCAGGAAGCTTAATGTATGCAATGGTCTGCACAAGGCCAAATATAGCTATTCAATTGGTGTAGTTAGCCGATTTCTTTCAAATCCAAGAAGAGAGCATTGGAATGCAGTATAGTGGATAATGAGATATCTTAGAGGCACTTCCAGGTTGACACTTAGTTTTGGAAATGAAAAACCAATTTTAGTTGGCTACACTGATGCAGATATGGCAAGAGATGTGGATACCCGTAAGTCTACTTCGGGTTATTTTATCACCTTCTTAGGTGGAGCTATTTCTTGGAAGTCAAGGTTGCAAAAATGTGTTGCACTCTCTACAACAGAGGCAAAGTTTGTTGCGGCAACGGAAGCTTGTAAAGAGTTGCTATGGATGAAAAAGTTCTTGAAGGAGCTTGCTTTCAAAAAATAACAATATGTGTTGTTTTGTGATAACCAAAGTGCTATTCACTTGGCTAAGAACTCTACATTCCATTCGAGGTCGAAGCACGTTGACGTGAGGTACCATTGGATAAGAGAAATTCTTAATCATAAGTTGTTGGAACTTGAAAAAATTCATACTGATGATAATGGTGCTGATATGTTGACAAAAGCTCTGGTAAGGGAGAAGCTTGAGACATGTTGCTCGATTTCCAGGATGGAGAATCCCTCCACCTAGTCCGAAAGGAGGAGATTTGTTGGTTTGGGTTTCCCTCCTATGTGGAGGATGGCCCAAAATATTTAGTAAAACCCATGTGAGTTCCAAAGCCCACATGGAGAGGTTGTGTTGTTTTTTCTAGCCAATGAGTAGTTTTACAAACCTTTTCTCTGTAACTTAGAGAAGGAGACGCTGCAGCCACAAAAACAGAGAGGAGAGGGGAGGCCAAGGGTTTTGGAGAAATTTTGTTCAGCAGTGATCAAGCTATCCGATCAACAAGCATCTGTGATCCGATTGAGCTAAAATTTGGTAGGCGAGTTCACAAGTAAAGACTCTAAATTCTGGATGGTGGAGATCAGATTTGGAGTATTCTACTGCTGGTTTTTGGCCCGTGAACAGTACCCATTTTGGTGACATCTTTCCTAAACTTTGTATTTTGATCTTTGGTTGCCAAGAAAGCTTATTTGTAAGTTGTTCTTGATTGTTTGCCTCTAGTTCTATCTAGAGAGAACTCTTGTATTCCCATTATTTGTTGATAGTGGAGATATTTGGTGGACTACGGTCCCGTGGTTTTTTCCTTTCTACATCGGGAAGGTTTTCCATGTTAAAAATTGTTGTTGCCTTGTTGTGTGATTGTTGGATCATCATTTCAGATTATTTTCACAATATATTGTGCTCTATTAAATTGCTTCCTAATAGTTTCACAGAAAGAGGGAGAATAAACTACTTCTGCTATTTTTGTGTCGGATTCAGATATTTCGAATTGAACTTTTGTTTGTTTTCTCCCAACAAGAGTATGGTATCCGTGTACATTCACATACACAATTGGGACTGGTGATTTTATCTGAACTGGGGCTGTTTGGTGTGCAGCTTATATGAGCCTGCTTATAGCTTCGATTTTTATTTTGTGAGTTTGCATCAAATTATTTGGCATAACTTCAACTTACACCTTATTAGGCAAGAGTAGCTTAAAAATAAGCTAAAATAAGCTAATTATCTGGAAGTTTGGAGAGGAGTGCTTTTGGTTTTTGCTTTCTGATTATCAACTTTTACCTTACAATAAATTGTGCCAAACAGGTCTGAGCGCTTTGTCAAAACCAAGGCTTGCCAATAAAAAAGGGAATCCTTGCCAATCCTGAAAATGTTCCATGGTAACATAGACAAATTGTTCCTCTCTCACAGACCAAGCAATTTCAACTTTTGCATTTGGATGAACAAACACTTGCTCACTTTCTTGCCATTAATTGCAGTATTGTTGACTAAATCTAATTTTTCCTTCCTCAAAAGCTCCATTGGGAATATTAGAGGTATTGAAAATGATGCTAATGGGCTTCTGTACAATAGATTTTTTTTAATCTGGCCTGTACAACAGATTGTAATTCTGTCTCTTTGAGAAAATCATATATCTTAGAAGAGAAAGAAGGTAGCTTTGGGTTGAAAACAATTCAAAACCATTAATCAAATTCTTCTAAACATTAATGTTTATATCTAATACACCACCCTATGATGCATGTTAATTCAGTGGTTCAAAGAAAAAGATTTATAAAGGATTTATGAAATAATGGAGGACAGATAGACAACATCGAAATTTGAATATGAGTGAGTCAAAGAATTAGAGGAAACATGCAACTTGGAGGAAGGAAGAAGTAGAAGGCTCTTAGTGTTCTTTATTCAACACATACAAAATTTAAAGAAGAAGAAGAAGAAAGCTCTATATGATCACCAGGTCAGTCATGCATTACAGCATAGCATGATTGGCTACCTGAATGCATATGCTTTGATAAATGACTGGTAGAGGAGAAAATATAGGTCTTCAAACAAATTGCATCACCCAAAACTGAGAACAATATAAGAAAATTGGCTGCAATTGCTCAGTTATCTGTAGCAAATCCCAAGAGTACACTAGCAAGGAGTGAAATATTTTAAGTTGAAATTATTCCAAAGACAAACAGAAGGCCAAAACAGATGATTACGATTGTGCGAAGAGGCATGATCATTATGATGGAACAAAACATAAGGCCCTAGAGAAAGCTAAATGGTGGAAAAGAACCCTTGTAGCATACCTTAAATAGTTGAAAGAAATCTTGTTAAGTTGTGTGTTTGTATGTGAAAGCATGCATGCATGTGTGTTGAGAGAGAGAGAGAGAGAGAGAGAGAGACGTACAATGTTGTCAATGCTGTCAAAGATTTTAAGGTTGAAAACCATGCAGTAACATCTGGCACATTAAAAGAATTATTGCTAATAGACCTGCAAGTCACTTTTTTTGTTAAAAAATAAATAAATAAATTGGAAAGTAGGTATGGAACATAATAACAAAAGCAAGATGATACCAAGAAAAGTAAATTTTCTTAGGAAGGAAAAAACAAGGAATTAACAAGATATCCATTAGAAAACTGTTTGAGAATCATGAGGCTTTTTCCTAAGCAAATAAGATGGAAACTACTTACATGTAGCTGAGAGAGGCCATGCCCGTAAGATTGGGCAAGGGGCCAGTCAGTTGATTGTTCAACAAGAACCTGCAAGTGGAAAATCAAAAGCCTGCAATAGTCAGTTGAAAATCGAATACAAATTAAGTTGACTACCTGGAAACAAGTATAGATGCTTAAATCAGAAAAAGTATTTGTTTTGTCTGCTTACAGCTCTTGGACATGTACAAGGCTGTAGAGGTTTGCTGGTACAGACCCACTTAAGAAGTTCCCGTCAAGACGTCTGTAGCAGCATAAGATATACTCAATTCAAAAATTTCATGGAAATTCACAGCTTTATGATTTTAATTGGGTATGAGATGCATATACTCACAGCGCTTCCAACTTCTGCACAGATCCTAGCGTTGAAGGGATGTTGCCACTAAGTTGATTGTTGTCCAAAAGCCTGTTCAAATCATTTCACATGAAAGTATTGAAACTATTTTCCGGATTTAGGGTATTTTGTACAAGTATTGGGCTGCCAGAAAAATTAAATCTAACATTCCCTATTATATATAGAAAAAAATAATGTTCAACAAAGGCAACACGAGACAATTCTAAGGCGTCGTGTTTGTGTAAAACATGCTTCCAACAATTGGGGGACACACATGGTCATCACTTAAACACACATGAAACGCATTGAAAGTTTGAAGAAAATAATTTGGGATGCAATGATAAAAAATTACTGTAATTTATACCTATTAGTCTCTGTACTTTAGAATTTTTTTATTTTAGGAATTCTAAAGCAAACAACTTCCACGTTGTTTATGAATAAAGCTTTCTAAATTAGATATTAGGACTTCTTATTCTCACATATAGAAAAATAATTTCTTACTTTTTTGATTTAATAAAATATATATGTATTTGTAATGTAAAAAACAATAAGTAGTTATTATTTTTATGTATATAAATAAAAATAATTTACTTGTTGAGTACCTACCTTCTTGTGTCCAGATATTGTGTCGACATGTTCTTATTGTGTCGTATACATATCCATGCTATTTAGTACATACAGATCACAGGAAAATATGTATACATTTACACCAAAAAAAAAAAAAAAAATCGCATCTTAACATATGTTGTGCCTATTTTACACTACAAAAGTTTTCGTACATGCATAACCTCTTGTCCTATCATTCAAGTACATACCACTGACACTTTGGAATAAATAACTAGATCAATATTACTTACAAATGTATGAGACTCATGTTTGAACTGAAAAGTTAATATGGGATTTGCCAGAGAGATTATTCATTCCAAAATGCCTGTACATAATAGAAAGGTCATTAGTATATGGAAATGAACAACATAGAAAGGACTAATCTGATTAAATGCACACACATAGAAAGATTAGACATACAAGTGCTGCGTCTTAACTAGCATATCCAGACCGGGTGAGGTCCCACTAGAGATAGGGATGGTTCCCTCAAGCTTATTGTCAGCCAGATCCAACCAAGAAAGATTTGCTAGATTACCAATTGTAGGCGGTATATTTCCAATGAAGTGGTTGGAACGGAATGAAAGTATTAAAATGTAGGCCAAGACACATAACTGCATTGTAAAACATAGTAAGTTGTAAGACATTCAGTATATATGCACTTTAACAAAATTTTTGGAACTGAAACTTGCAAAAGCTTACTAGATGATATGAATTCAAAGAATGGAGTTTCTAATGCAAGATTTGAATGACCAAAAATAGATCCCAGATTCAATTTTTCTACTTTTTTAGAAGCATGAAAGAGGATTAAGTGGAAGTAGGTTTGAAAGGCGCAAATATTATGATTTCATAGGAAACCAACTTCCACACTTAATCCTCTTTAAGATCAAATTATTGAGGGAGTAGACAATTATTGTGTCAAAAAGTATGTGGAAGATTCTAGTTAATGTCCTTTTCATTTTCTGATTATATTTCAGAGGGTGAAATAGTTTACCTGATAACTTGAGCTTGTTATGAGTTTGTTTACAGTTCTGTCATTCCATTGTTCCATCACAAGGGAATACAAGCCTCATGCTGCGTAAGGAGTGAAAATTCCCATTTTTACTCATTGCAGGACTAATGCCTAAAGATGCAACATTCCCTCAACTATGAATTTCTAATCTCCTACAGAAAGCACCTAAAATGGTAAAACTGTGCTGTCAATTGACAATACTTCAAATTAAGTTTCACATTTATAATTTCTCAATTTAAACAGAAGAAAAATACCAAAGTCCAAATGCTTACTACATGAACAGCTGCTGCAGAGATCCTATTTCGTTAGGAATTGGACCAGAGAAATCGCAACCAACCAGGAGTCAGAGATGCAAGAAGCAATGTTTTTAACAACACATATATCCATCTGAGTAATCAGCCACCATACAACAACAATCAAAATTTTCTTACAGGTTTGACAGCTTCGTCAAATCTCCAATTGATGCAGGAAGAGAACCTGTCAAGACCGGGTTGTAAGATAGATCCCTATATGCAGAAAGTAATAGTCAGAACTCAATTTTAACAATTCTTATGAGAGAACAAATAAATAAATAAATAACAACAACAATTTCAAAAAGCTATTAATAATAAAGTAGGGACACTAGTTTCCATGTAGTGTTTTCTACCACGCCAATCAGGCATTTTAAGTGACATGAACTGTAGCACCATTCTAGTGTGTCACTATTAGTATTTTGAATTAGTGATGTAAAGTAATTAGGGAACTAACAAATGTGTGTGAAGACATAAAATATGAATTCCATTCTGGGAACATAGCTAATATGTACTAGATATATATAGAAGTCAACAAGGAGCACTGATTGTTGATCAATAATGCCGATCTTTGAAAAATCCAAAAGAGTATAGTAGTCCAGAATGAACAATGGTAACTGAATGATGCTTCATTAAATAAAATTGTATCCATTCATGGAAGCAAAGGGACAGTGAAAATATAAGACCTACAGAGTCAGTAATTCAGACAACGATCCAATGTCTCCGGGCAGCTGACCAGTCAAATTCATGCTCGCTAATGTTTTGGCATTAAAACTGATAGTTAACCTCAATTTAGAAAATGCAGAATAAGCAACTCTCCTTAAGCATTTAAAAGGAAAAAACACAATGGCGACTTACATAGCTGTCACACGTGAATTAGTGCACTGAACTCCTTCCCAATTGTTGCCACATGGATCTGACCCAACCCAACTGGGTGGTGTGTTCTCCCAGGAAACTTTGAGAGCGATTATAGCAGCATCTATATCATAGACAAAATAAAATTCCAGAGTTATATTGCCCAAAAAATCACAAACATAAACTCTCCAAGACATTCCTTGTAGATGAAAATATTGCAAGGGAAGAACCCCAATTTTTTTATTAGGATTCAGGAAAACCATAGCTTGGGGCATGATAAACCAACAGCAGCCAGTAATTTATAAGCAGAAAGGATAGCTTTTCTCGAGCTCGCCCTCTTCTCAGATTTCATTTGACCAAATATTTTCTAGTTTAAGGAACTGCCTTGGTACTCATGTCACCACTTCTGAATCTGAATAACCTGAGGCCATTTGATATTAAAGAACTCAGACATCAAAAGATTGTTTTTAAGTGACCCCACTTTTGAATAATCAAGACCATTTCATGTTTCAGTTAAAGAACTCAAACATCCAAAGGTTGTTTCTGGCTCTGAGTGACCCCAAAATAGCATGCAAATTGAGAAAAGTAAACTCACCCAAAACGGTATATACCCAATTTACTGCCTTATGTCTCCAGGGCCTCCAAAAAGAGTTATGCCAAGGGTTGCCGTTACGACTTAGTGTTGGAACAAAGAACAATAACAATCTCGAAAACTCACCCAAAATGATATATACTCAATTCATCGCCTTGCAACCCTACAAGGGACCTCCATCAAAAGAAAAGACTCATCCTAAGGTTGTTTTGGATCATGGATTTATGTAAAGAAAAGAAATAGGGAGGGAAATGTTAATGAATGAATATAAGCTAACATTTTTCACATCTCCCTCCTGTTTTCTTTATTCTCTACAAATCCCTATCCAAATCCATGATCCAAACATAGTGTAAAGAATGTCATTACAGCTGGCTCACCCAAAAGAGTTAGCCAATGAGGTGTCATTTGGGTTCATTGCTCTTATTGATATACATACCCAAGATACCCATTCAAACTCAATACTCAATGCACACCAATGCTGGTTAGGAGTCAGGGTGATTACAAGAACTTACTGCTAAACAAGATAAAACATGGTAGCATATCTAAGACTTCTAGTTTTGGAAAGAAGTTAATGATTAGTAGGAATGCAATTATGTATTCCAGTTTGCATCCTTGCATAGTGAATAGTATTCCCAGGAAAATTAGATAGCTTCAGAGAGAAGTAGCTTGTCATAACCAAGTGATGGACATAGATCTAATCCTTTGATTGATGAAGGTTGAAAGGATTAGGGGAAATGACAACATCCACCAGTGAATTTCAGTTTAGTTCTCATTATCAGAAACAATAGAAAACATAATTGCTTCTCCTTTTGTGAAGAATCAACCCCACAATAAATGAGAAGGTGTGAAGAGAAAGAAACCAGAAAGAGTTCAAGCATATTCTATCCTAACATCAGCTAAAGAACTTTTGTGTTTTCTGGAGGATCCATTAACTAGCAAGCAAGGATGTATTCTTGTTTGTATTAATCAAGGCATGGAAAAGCTAAGAACAGAGATTGAAGCTCTCTTTTTGCATATATCATTAAACACTAATATAACTAGTGATGCCAATAAACTAAAAACTTGGACATAAGAATTAAACTTACCATCCTGAGGATTCATAAACGCAGCCACAAGTAAAATTTGGACAGAAGTAACCAACAGAAAGACCTGAATTCTAGAACCCATTATTCAAGAAAGAACCATATAAATTTCTTGAAACTCACTGAATTAAAAGGAACCACTTTGAAACCACCCAATTTCTTTTATTCTGTTTCCTTCTGTTCATTATTAGATGTATTCAAGAGAAGAAATTTTCTTCATGCTTACCCATCTACTTGACTATTCAACATTCATATCTGCAATACATTAATACAACCATGTGTGGCCGCCACTAACTCATCCCAAATATCAAATAATATCCCATACATACAATTTGAGTTATTCAAATTAATTGCAATACAACAACTACACACTATGACCTAATTTCCATCAAATTAAAAAGAAAAGATTTAAAAAAAAAAAAAATTAGTTAGGGTTAATTGTTGGCTTGGTATAATTTTGGCGCCTAAGTCAACAATATAAACTAGCTTTTTTAAATATTGAAGGCTTGGTAAATGTAACACCTGTCCCACATCGAAAGTTTGCATGGGTGATCTTGGACATATAAAGCACTACTTAATTACTACTAAGTAATTGGATTTAATTTTTTGGGTATTAATGGTCGACCAACAAGTTACTTGCCCCAACAAGTTACTTGCCCCAACAAGTAGTGGGGTGCGAAAATTTATAAGTGGGGGAGTTTCTAATACTCTGTCCATAGCGATCCCGGGTTTTCCCTCCGTTGTTTATTGTAATCCGGACTCGGTTCCGTGGATGATTGTTGTTGTCTGTGTTGTGTTTCCGTCCTTTAATTCTTTGTATTTGAGTTTTGGGATGTGTTGGGCAGGTTTGAAACAGGTTGGTTGTGTTTACAAACAAATAGTTTCTACCCAGATTTTGGCCTTCACGCTCGAGCGGGCCCTTTTTGCATTTGCTCATCCGCTCGAGCGGGCAATCTGACGCTCGAGCGAGATTCTTCAACCTTCAGTATTTTTCCTGCAGGTCACTGGACACTCGAGCGTCCACTATCACGCTCGAGCGGGGACCTTCGTCTGCAGAACATCTAGAAGTGTGCATTCCACGCTCGAGCGGCGCTTTTTACGCTCGAGCGGGAGTCTGTGTCTGATGCTCGAGCGGGGCGTTCCATGCTTGAGCGGGCTGTATTGTATGTCAGCCCGAGTTGAAGCTTTTGAAATCACTTTTTCGGCCCCCTCTCTCTCTCTAAAGCATTCCAAAACCCTAATTTGAGAGTTTCTCTCTCTATGATACATCTTCTCTCTACAAATACATCTAGTTCTAGTGATCTTCTACCCTAGTTCCTTTGTATAAAGTGTGGAGCTTGGCGTGATTTTCGTTTTGATCCGAAAAAATTGGTGTTTGGAGCATCTTGGGTTTTCACCTTCATCTCCTTTGAGTCTCTTCACTTGAGGTAGGGATAACCTACTCCTTTCTATGAGTTTTGACATAGATGTTATGTATTTTTGCATAGATGGTGTTGTTTGGGGTTTTTGAGAGAAACTAGGGTTTGAAATTGGAATTATAAAAGAGGGGTTTTCTATTTTTGGGGTTCCAAGTGTATGAGTGGTCCCTAAAATGAAGCTATTGTGTATGATTGATGGAATTTGGCCTTGGATGCAATATTTGAGAAAATTGAGAAAAAGCCCTAATTTAATATAATTGATTAATTTGTATAATTAATCCGGGAAATATGGAAACATGAAATTGAGTTGAAAACTATGAAATTGGGAAATTATGAGACTGAATGGTGGAGTTGGATTGATTGATCACTTACCTTTGAAATTGTAGATAATTTATCTGTTTGATAATTTATTATCTGTTTAGAAATAATTGTTTTGGGCTATCGGTGGAGGATAGTCTTGATTGTTGTAAACACTGCATGATGATTAGGTGAATTAGAACTAATCAATTGAGTACGTCAATGAATATGACGGATGGAATAAATAACACATTGAATATGTACTTTGCTTGATCATTATATATGATAAGTGTTTGAAAACATTGCATATGTATCTTGTTTGGGAGGAGATAGGGGATGTACTCTATGGTTTGAGAGGAGATAGGGGATGGACTCCGTTGATAACTAAGTTGGCGGGAGTGTCCATGGTGAAAGTCCCGAAATCTTAATTACGTTTGTATAATGTAGATGATCGAAGTGTTGAAGTGTTAATGTTATGAGTTGTAGTCTCATTTGAAAGTGAAGTGTTGAAGTGTTAATAATGTGAGTTATAGTCTCATGTAAATTGATCATAATCGAAGTATTGTTGATAATATGAGTTGTAGTCTCATTATAAATTGTCTGGATAATCAGAGAACCATGACTATGAATTGGTTTGGATAATGAAACGGAAAGGGATTGAAATATATTTGTGATTATGGGTTGGTTATGAAAGAGATGTACGTTTGTTTATATGAGTTAAACATTTATCAAATGCTAATATTTTAATTATTGCTCATATTTGGTTTAGCATATCTCTACTGGGCTTTAGCTCACCTTTTATGGGACATCATTTTCAGGTGCAGGTGATATGCTGCCTCCAAGGATATAGCTTGGGAGGTTATAGAAGTTGAAGGCTTACTTTTGTGATTATCTTTTGAATTACATATAATTCAAGCCAAAGGCTTAATGTGTTTAGAGTTAGAACTCTCTTTTGTTGAACTCAAGTGTTGACTTAGAAAGTTGTAAGCTCGTAGGGCATTTACTTTTGTTGTCAACCTGCAATACTTTTTGTACTAAAGCCTAGTTTGGGAAGATTGAAAAAAGACAAAAAGTTAAAAAGTTACTATCATATTTAAGTCACATCATCTTATTTAAGTCACATCACCTCTCTAATACATCACTTCAAACCCAACCCAAACCCAACCCATATTTCATAAAAAGTCAAAAAGTACACTTATTTAGTCTTCCCAAACTAGGCCTAAATACTGATAAATGGAAACATGTGTTATTCTCTTATGGCTATAGATGTCTTGAATGATGGATTTATATGTATTATTTTGAAAGCGTTACGCTGTCCCACATCGGAAGTTTAGTGAGGCGTTACAGAAAGAGAAAACCCACAAGTCTTATTGGTATTTGTTGATATTTGTTTGAGTCTTCCGCAAAAAAATAAAATTCAAGGCACCATCAGCAAAATTAGGGACATGGGTAAGTTTTATTTTTCACTGCAGATTAGTCGATCAGAGACTTTTTCTAAAGAAATCACTTTCCTAATCATCGGTGGTGAAGTATTCAAACAAGTTGCCAATTGAAAATCAGTAAGACTTTTTTGATTGGGGGTTGTGTGGATGTAACGTGAGACATTTGATGAAACATTAACATTTTATATATATATATATATATATATGCATCAGTCTGCTGGGTCTATAGTTCCATACCTAAACTTGGAAAAGCTATTGAATCTGTCAGAGAGACTCCCCTTTGTCAAATACACAACATTTGTTTATTCATTTGTAGCCCTCCTTCCCTCCTCTCTCTCTCTCTCTCTCTCTCTCTCTCTCTATATCTCTCAAGTTTTGTTTTACTATTTAGGGTCCGTTTGGCGAGCAAGGTTGGGGCTAAAATAGCCACAAAAGACAAAATAGGTTATTTTAGCCACAACAAACAAAACATCACATCCAACCCATAATCATTACACTCTTCTCTCACAAAAAAAGTCAAAAAAGCCAAAAAGCCAAAAAGCCCTTCCCAAACCAAGCTTTTTAGCCCAGGCTAAAATAGCCAAAAAAGCCAAAAAGCCAACCCACTTCCCAAACGGAGGCTTAGGGTGTGTTTGATTGGGGGGATAAGGGGGGACTATCCACTGTTTGGACTCCATGTCCGGCCTCCCTCCTTATCCGTCGTTTGATTTTTTTTTAGTCCGGCGGACTCCATGTCCGGCCGGACTCCATGTCCCCCATATGGGGGACTATCCTATCCTTAGTTAGAAAATGAGGGGAATACTAACTTGTTTAGGAAAATACTTGTTATCATATACAAGTTATGTTATTTGTAAATTTAATTATTATAAATTATATAATTCAATATTATAAAAATCATAATTAAAAAAAATATTGAACCATAATAAATATCACATAAGGTATAATATAATTCTTTAATTATAACTAAAATTTTGTCATAACTAAAATCACAAGAGTCTGTTTGGTAACCATTCCGTTTTTTATTTTGAATTTATATTTACAAAAATTTAAAAAAATGTCATAAAAATTTATTTGATAATTTTTTTTGATTTATAAATGGTTGTCTCAATTTATAAATTTAAGGAAAAAGCATAAACTTAAAAAATGAGTTTACGTTTTCAGTTTTAAATTTTTTTTTTCAATTAATTTTTTTTCAATTAATTTATTTTTTCAAATAATTTTTTTCAAATAATTTTTTTTCAAAAAATATTTTTTTCAATTATTTTTTTAATTAATTTCTTTTTCAAATAATTTTTTTTCCAATTAAATTTTTTTCAAATATTTTTTTAATTAATTTTTTTCAATTATAATGTGTGTGATCCCATAGTCATAAATAAGAAAAATAAATATAAATATTTTAGGCCTGAACAAACATATTTTTTAATTTATGTTTTTAAAATTTTTTAAATATTTTGTTCAAACCAAACGCGTTTGTAATTTACGTTTTTCTAAAACTAAACAAAAACAACTTTTGTAAACATAAATAAAAAACGTAAACATTACCAAACGCTACCAATGTGTTATAATTAACAACTCAATATATCACAATCATTGACTCAATGTCATAATCAAAGATATATATGGTACACATCTTAAAAACAATGTGGACTTTCCCAAGTTAAATTTGATTTGAAAAGCTTAATTACCTTTAAAAGGAATTCAAATTTGGCTTGTTCACCTAACAAATTAATCTTATATGAGTATTTTAGAATAACTTTAGTTCCTTTGCCTCCGTTTGGGAAGTGGGTTGGCTTTTTGACTTTTTTGGCTATTTTTTTTTTTTGGTGAATACATTTTTGGCTATTTTAGCCTGAGCTAAAAAGCTTGGTTTGGAAAGGACTTTTTCACTTTTTCACTTTTTTGACTTTTTTTATGAGAGAATAATGTAATAATTATGAATTAAATGTGATATTTTATTTGTTATAACTAAAATAACTTATTTTATCTTTTGTGACTAAAATAATCCGAAACTAACTTGCCAAACGGACCCTTTGACAGTCTTACTCTTACAAAATTGTTTGAGGGCTCAAAATTATTGGCTTGAAAGGCTCGAAAACGTGCGCTCACGCGCCTATCTCGCATATCTCGCCCGTCTTCATTTTTCTTCTTCTCATATTCAAATGGAAAATGTTTGGTAGCTCAAAATTTTGTGGCTCAAATGGCTCAAATCTGTCAAAACGATGTCGTTTTACGTTGTTTTACATTCAAAACGACGTCGTTTTGAGTGATTTGAACCATTTAAGCCACAAAATTTTGAGCTACCTAGCATTGTCGGAGATGCATTTGTTCTGAAGTAAGCTATTTGAGATGCATCTGTTAAAAAAAAAATTATTTGGTTGTTCTGGAATCAGACTCTCTGTTAAACATCTTTCATTATATTGATGCATGCCAAGTGTTTGATGAAAGTCCCTAACTGATTTTGTTCATTACAGATTGATACTTGTAGTTTAGATTTTCATTACATTACAGATTGAACAAAATGTTCATTACAGCTCGTTCAATCTGTAATGAAAGTCCCCAACTTGTTCAATCTATGAATCTGCCAAAATGTTCAATCTGTAAACAGATTGCCATGAAAATCAATACTGATTTTCAATCTGTTAATAATTCATGATTGCCAAAAATGCTATTTAGATTGCCAGAAATCTAAACAGATTGCCAGAAATGCTACTAATAATTCAAGATAACCTCATTTTAATGAATTTGTGTACATGTTATTCAATGCTTCTTGTTTACATGTTTTGTGAACTGTATATAAATCTGGCTTTTTATCTTTTGTTTCCCTCCCAACATCATTGAAGATAATTTGCTAGAGGAAAATCAATAAAATTAGAGGATGATGACATCAAGAAAGTATGGTAAGCTAAGATTAGAGGATGATCACATATAGTCAATAAGAACCAGCTAAAAGTGCATGGGGGGTGGTATGCTTGAATGCTTAGGTGACTTGTGAGAGACATATGGACAGTTTTTTTTGTAACATTCATCTATAAGAATTTTGTTCCTGAAAAGGCTTCACCAATGTACCATATTGACAGCAAAATAATTATTTGAGTTTTAAAAAGAAGTGCCCCTTAGAAACACCAATACTATCTTCAGGATTGCAATCTTTGGTGAAAATAATTCATCAAACTGCTGCAGATCAGATCCCATGTGAACTGTGGGCTCACAACACCCTGTCTAGCTATTGCTTGCTCCTTTGAATTTTGCTCCTTGGCTTCATTTAACTAGGAAATAGTGAAGACTTGACCAAACAATTCAAGCCGGGAAATGATATTGAAACAGAATTTTTATACAAAATTTAAGACAACAATAATATAGCAATGAGATTTTTACAATTACGAACAACAGTGATTAATATTTTGACTTCCAACAAAACCTTATATGTACAGCGAAAGCATTCTAATGGCCAACTGACACTTAGAGACCATAGCTAGGAGAACAAATGGGATTAGATACTTGGAGAGATTTTCATAATGGCTTCAAAACCTCAAGAGACACTGATAGGTCGACCTCACATGATCTTAAAACTAAAGCAAAAACCCAATTAGTTTTAAGACAGATGGTCAAAGCAATCTTAATAGATTGAAACCATCATTAATTCCTACTATGAATCTTGCTTTTTATCTTGTAATTTAAGTGCTACATATTCATAGAGCATTGAAGACATGAAAGATGGAATCATGGTTTGAAATTAATATTCAAATATTATGAATTTTGTTTATGCAAATTAAAAATGGCTTCTTCTTCTACTAACAGCAGCAACATTAGATTAAGACCAAGAATATGTGATTGTGGGAAAACAACTGCAATGTATATTGTACGAATCAACGAGAATGGAAATCAAGGGCATCTCTTTTTTGTTTGTCCATCCAAATATGTAAGTATGTGTTATGAAATTAAACTTGTAGTAGTTTGGAAATTATTTGTGTGAATTAAATAATTGATTGTCATGCATTGTAGAGTAATAGTAACGAAGAACACTGCAAGTACTTCAAGTTTGCAGATGATGATGATGGGGACATTACCTCGACAATCCATTCCAATAATGGACCTCGTAAAGCTATCCGAACAGAAGAATTGAATGATGTCAGGGCAAAGCTTTCTGAGATGGAACAGAAATACATAACCATGGTAGAAGGCTTCAAAGGATGGACAGCAAATTTAACACTATGATTTATGCGATTGTAGTGTGTATCATTTGGTACTTTATTAAGTAAGAATTGAAATGCTTGACTGTTAGTTTTTGGGAAATTTGATGAATGTAATTATGGATGTAATGGAATAGTGTTTGAATGGATGCAATGGACATGTTAACTTTATTGTGGATGTAATGGATATGTTAACTTTATTATGGATGTAATGGAGATGTAAACTTTATTATGGATGCAAGTTCATTATAGATGAGTGGAAAAGATTTAACAGATTCATAAATGTTTAATGGACATGTTTGTTATTATGTAATGGACATGTTTAACAGATTCGTAAATGTTTAAACAGATTAACAACCATAACCCCTGCTGAACTGCGGCGATTCATACATATTTTAAAGAACAAATAGGCGATTAATAGAGAAACAGATTTAGAATCAAAATCTGGCAGATTCAGATTGAAATTCTGGCAGATTCAACAGAGTTAACAGATTTAAAGAACCAAAATGTGGCAGATTCAATGTTGAACAGATTCAGCATTCAAAATATGGCAGATTTAACAGATTTAAAGAACCAAAATGTGGCAGATTCAATGTTGAACAGATTTATCATACAAAATCTGACAGATTTAACAGATTTAACAGAGTTAAAGGACCAAAATTTGGCAGATTCAATGTTGAACAGATTGAGCATTCAAAATCTGGCAGATTCATAGGTTTAACAGATTGAACATCAGGCAGATTCATACAGGTTTAACAGATTGAACATCATGCAGGTTTAACAGATTCATACAGGTTCATTCTGTTCATACAGAAACAAGTTCAATCTGTTCATACAAAAACAGCTTCAAAATCTGGCAGATGCATACAGAAACAGATTCAACATGTGGCAAATTCAACATGTGGCAGATTGAGCATTCAAACTGTGGCCCATTCAACATACAATTAGCCATCATTCAACATCAATTTCCCATCATTCAATAGAAAATATTACCATTAATCTGCCCCATTCAACATACAATTTGCCACGATTTATAATTGAACATCATTCAACATCATTCCTAGTATTCTACAAATAAACTCATCTGAGGAGCATTCCACAAACAACATCATTCATAGTAAAAGTACAATGCGAAACTAAAAATAAAATGGGACATTTGGATCCACATCTACATTGAAGTGAACAAAATTTGAAGCGATTGTCGAACTTTGACTGCTGATGTTGTTCACCATTTTCATTTGAATATGAGATGTGCCTCCAATATTATCCATCATTTGCATTTGAGTAAACTGTGCCTATTCATTAAACAAGTACACTTTATAAATATTGTCCATTCAACATATATATCAATTAAAACAAGAACTAATATTTTATAATATTTTAAACATTGAACACATACCGGTACATACATACTCTGTTGCGTGCCATCCATGCAAGGAAAATAGTAAGGTGTAGTTTACGTCGCCTTATGATCATAGTAACACAATTTCATTATACATAAAAGACATTAAAATAAAAAAACAACCAACAACATAAAAATTCAAATACATACCGGGTCATGATAAGTATTGTATTGCATATCATCTGTACCAGGAAAATTTAACTTTCGAGGCTGACATTGAGGAACCGTGCGTCCCTATAGTAAGACACAAACACATTGGTGAATAATTTATCTTAAATACATTCAACAATTTCCATGTCACACACAACAAAAAAACTTACCTGTGCTTTTGGAGGCTTTTTACTCTTTCTCTTCCAACCGATTCACTATTTGATCCACTTTGCTAACCTTCCGTTTGGTACATAGACGTCCTCTTCGGCGAGCAACCATTGGACTAAGCATCTTGCGAGACATGCTTGCTTTTGTAGTACTACGAGCAGACCGACTTCTCAACGAACTATGAGAAGGTGGTACATTACTAGTAGAAGGTGGCACGTTACTAGTTCAAGGTGGTGCATGACTCGCACTACCCGATTGATCTTTTCTCACTTTATCCTTGATTTCTATCAACCCAAGATCAAGTACTTCGTGTTTACCATCATAGTTGGCAGCAATTTCTATGACTTCATCCAACATCTTGTGGTATTTATCATGCAACTTTGCATTAAGAACAGCCCGGGCTTTAGTGTATGTGGTTGGAATGCATGTGTACCCTCTTTCGATATCTTTTCTCCATCTTGATACAATGTATTTATCTGGCACCTGATATATACACCTCTCAAGTAGCACAGTAATTGCATGGGCACACATAATGCCCCTAAACTCAAACCACCGACACATACAATGCAATTCATATTCACTTGCATTAAAGTACACAACAAATTCCATAGTCTTCATTTTCTCACCAACAAGAACAGCCTCCTTCACATGATAAGTACAAATTGCTCCCTCCTCTTTGACAAGATTCGCACGACAATACAATAGTCGTTTCAATTCTACTTGCACTTCTTTAAATTTTGCATTCGTGTAGGCTGCACGAAATTGCTTCTCAAACTCATATACCGTTAAGCAATCATACAATTTGTTTCGAGATTTAAAGTCTGCTGTCATCTCTTTTTCAATCTTACTTCTCAGGGCATTATCATACTGTTCAACAAATTGCTTTAAAATTGTCTTTGAGTTCACATATCCATCAAAAAATGCGTTCATGCTCTCATTTCGTTGTGTAGTCGACATGCCAGCCCAAAAAACATCCTTCACATAGGCAGGAATCCACCTATGTCGCTCACTGTATAATACCCCCAACCACTCATTATCATCTACCTTGAACTTTGCAATCATCGCTTGCCATTCTTCATCAAATTCATCTTTTGTAAAACAATCATAAACTGCATTTTGCAAAGCAAACTTGTTGGATTCATATTGGGCATATCCTCTTAATTTCTCAGGAATTTTTTTCATTATATGCCATAAACACCAACGATGTCAAGCTTGTGGAAAGACAACTTCAATGGCATTTTGCATAGCTCTGCACTGGTCTGTTATTATAGTTTTTGGAGGAACGTTACACATGCAACTTAACCATTCTCTGAATAGCCACACAAATGTTTCAGTGTTCTCATTAGATAACAGCCCACAATCAAACAAAATTGACTGCCCATGGTGATTAACTCCTACAAACGGAGCAAATGGCATATCATACTTGTTTGTGAGATAAGTTGTGTCAAATGAAACCACATCCCCAAATACTTTATAAGTTGCCCTACTCCTTGCATCCGCCCAAAACAAGTTTCGCATGCGACCATCTTTATCGAGGTCAATTGTAGAATAGAAGTTCGAATTTTGTTGTTGCATCCTATGAAAATAAAGTGCAACTGATTCAGCAACTCCTACCCCAAGCCTCAATTTTCTCATACTCTGAATATGATTCCTTGCATCTTGTTCATCAAATGTTAATGCTTCATACCCCCATGCTTCAACAACTATAGAATGAAAATTCCTAGCCACCCCTATCCCTGCTTCATCGTTTATTTCTAGTCTTCTCTTCACAGGGGTAAGAATTCTCTTATTCATTGCAAAATGTCATGAGTCACTAGGAATCAAGTCATGCGTATGTTCAAGCACAACTGTGGTCAACTTAAATTTTCCATCCTTTTGTAGAGTTGCTCTAACCTTTGCTTTACATTCAATGAATGATGACAAAGATGGTTTGAGAGGGTGTACTTCTGATCGTTTTGTTCTCTTGCGAGTCCAAGTACATTCAATTCCAAAGTATTTTACTTTCCCATCTTGTCTAATATTCTGTGTTCTATAAGCTACAGCAAATCCGAGGTGCTTCGTATATTTTGTATAAAACGAATATACTTCTTGCTTTGAGCTAAAACACATGCCCTTCTTAGGTTCTTCAACTTCACCAATCTCATTTAATGACAAATTGTTCTCCGCCCCTTCAACTTCCTCACTCCCATTCAATGAAGGATTGTTTGAATCAATGTCCATTTGAAGCGTGTAGTTCGCGTAGCTTCAAACCAAATACAAAATAAAGTGTAAGTGCATGTATGTGCATTTCAATTTTTCTGAGGTTTTCCAACTTAACCAGTAACCACATAGTTTTTCATATTGGATTGGGATATTTCATTTCAAACATCAAATATCATTGAAATGGTTTACAATGATTTTCAAGTTCTTACATGGTAAATGGCAACAATGGATGACAACAATGTAAGTGCATTTTCAAGGTTAACCAGCAATGGATGACAACACTGAGATAAATTCAACACATTGATCTCAGTAATGAGTTAATTCTTACACTGAGATTATCTCAGTAAAGAGTTGATTAGGCAAATTAAGAACACTGAGATTAGGTAAATTACCCTAAATGACAAAATTAGTTTCAAACATAATTTAGTATGACACAGATTAGCATCAAGAAAGATGACACAAATTTTTAGCATCAGGACTTTCATCAACCAACACATAAAAATTCAGGACAATTTCTCTATGGGGACTTTCATCAAACAATTGGCATGTATCACTACAATGGAAATGTTTAGCATAGGGCTTGCTTCCAGAACAACCAATTTTTTTTTTTTTACAGACACAGATTCATACAGAAACAGATTAAAAATCAGATTGCCTCTTACAAATGCATCTAAAAAAAAAATGTTGACCAATAACGAGATGTTCAATCTGTTTAGGAAAATAAGTTATTGGTTCCTGGAGTGCACAGATAATTTGTTTATCTGTTCATCTGTTTATCAGATTTATGAGTATTATAAAAAATTCATCTTGTATATTTTTGTGAAAACTGTATCAAATATCAGTTGCCAAGAAAACTCTACCAGATGAACAGATTATAATCTGTTTATAATCTGCATCAAATATCATTTGACAAATGAGACAACCGTAGTTTATAAACTGTATCAAATATCAGTTGACAAATGAGACAAAATGTTTATAAACCAAATATCTGTATCAAATATCAGTTTATAAACCAATTACTCACCTACAGCGGTGGAGATTCCAAATAGCGGTAGACGGTGGTCAGCGACGCTCGTCGGTGAACACCAAGTCGGTCGTTGTTGTGATCGTCTCACTCGCCGTCGTCGTGGTCGCAACCTCCCTCTCTTTCCCTTCTCTCTCTGTTGTTTCGATTTTTTTTTGAAAATTGTTTAAGAGCTCTAAAATAAAGAGCTTTAATAGCTCTAAAAATACTGTAGTCTCAATTGATGTGATGTTTTACTCTTTTTTTTTTTTTTTTTTAATTTTTAGCATCGCCAGCTCATTAGAGCCGGTTTAGTGGTCCCTTTTTATGGTATGTAGCACCACTGTTTTTTTTTTTTTCATTTCATTAGTTTGCCATGCAGAACACTTGAGCTCCACCTGAATCAAATTTTCGGAGGGAAACTAATTTCGAGCCATTCGAGCCGTTGTGTGTTTCGGGCACTGTAGCAGCGTCGCTTACTTTTAACGACAATGCTACGTATCTCAAATTTTGTGGCTCAAAAGTGGTTCAAATGGCCAAAACGACGTCGTTTTGAGTACAGAACAACATAAAAATGGCCAAAACGACATCGTTTTGGCCATTTGAGCCACTTTTGAGCCACAAAATTTGAGCTACGAAACATTTTCCTACTCTTAATTGAAATGCAAAAGAAAAATGTTTGAGGGCCACAATTTTTGTGGCCACAATGGCTCAAAACTGTTAAAACGGTCGTTTTGACAGTTTTGAGCCATTGTGGCTACAAAAATTGTGGCCCTCTAGCATTGTTGAATGCAAAATCAAAAAGGAAAATGTCTCGTACTCAAATTTTGTGGCTCAAAAGTGGCTCAAATGGCCAAAACGACGTCGTTTTGGCCATTTTTATATTGTTCTGTACTCAAAACGACGTCGTTTTGGCTATTTGAGCCACTTTTGAGCCACAAAATTTGAGCTACGTAGCATTGTCGAATCAAAAAACATGTTCATTAAGTGCACGGAAACAGCACTAGCGGTGGCTTAGGTAGAAAAATAAGGCTCTGCTTGGTTTATTTTTAAAATAATTTTTTTGAGAAAAAATTAAAAAATAATTTGATGAAAAAAATTTAAAAAAAAAAAATATTGATTAATTTTTTGGAAAATTACACTCCAGTGGAGTTTTTACAAAATATTTATAAATTAATGAAAAAGTTTATAAATTTAATTATTAAAATGCATCCATTCATTTGATTTTTTTTATTTTTTTATTTTTTTGAAAAAGTACTCTGATAAGTAATTTCTCTTATTTTTTTTCATATTGTTTGACCTTTTTCAGAAGAAAAATAAATTTTAAAATTTAAAAAAAAAAAAAACCTTCTTAGTGCTTACTCGTATGCAACTATTTATATTTTTTTGGAATAATTTCAAAAATTGATTCTAAAATAAAAGGGATGCACCAATAAATCCAAATTAATAACTTATGCACTGTTTAGTCTTAAAAGTTTTCTTATAGACTGAAAGGTCCCATTACATGTTAATAACATCAGATACAATGTAATAATATCAGAGTCATGTTACAAACATTGGATTTCAAACATCTAATGTTCATCAAATTTCAATAATGTTTGAAAATATAGGATGAAAAACATCTAATGTTCATTAGATTTCAATAAATTTTGAAATTATAGAATGAAACATCAGATCATTTACATCATTCACATCATGTTGATGTAAAAATGAGACTAAATGGAGCATAAAAAACTTTTAGGACTAAATGGTTCAACGTTTCAAAAACTAGGACTTATGGGTAAATTTTCCAAAAAATAAAACCAGACAGAACCTATGCAAATTAATAAATTTATATAATTTTTTTATTTATCAATCCGACACTTATTATATTATAAAAGATGAACATATTTGCATAAGAGTGCATCGATATAGATTTTTAATTTTTAAAAAAAGATTATTAATTTTATAACATTTTCTATATAGATTTGTGTGCGCGCGCGAGCACAAGAGTGCATCGATATACAGTAGCAAAGTTAAGAGGTTAAGTGTTAGTGAGGGACGGAGAAATCAAGAGGGAGAGTATCATTCTATTAATTACACTTGAATTCAATAAGTTGACCTTATATAAATAGTAGTTTGGAAATATGTTTAAGTAGAAGTTAGAGGTTAAAGTATTAGTGAGGGAAATCAAGAAGGGAGAGTGTTATTTATGGCATTTGAACTTAAGTCACTCAATTGGTAAACCGATGTTATATAAAATAAAGTTTAAAAAAGTATGTTGAGTAGAAGTGGAGGTTAAGGGAGAAAGTCATGACACTCCAACTCGAGCACTCCATTAACAAGCGAACTCTGTAAAATAGTAGTTTGCAAAAACTATTGAGGACGTAATCGAATTGTAGTATAAAATTTAAGAAAAATAAATAAACATTACAGCCTTTTTGGGGGAGGGGGACAATTAAAAACATAACCACTATCTCTTAAAATTGGACACAAACGAATTTCAAAATAAAATATAATAAATAAATGTAATAATCCCAACATTATTAACTCGAAAATATCTTGCAACAAGCTTGACGAAAAATCCCTGAGACATCACTTAATTATCACTGCTAAAATCACCCTAGATGATGTGTGTATTTCAATTTTGATTTGTCAAATGAGTGGTGCTACATTTCTTAATATATCATGTCTATTTTGATCTTTAATGAGATGGAAGAGAGAGAGTAGAGAGACATAGAGAGAGGAGTATAGGTCCTCCCTTCACATGATTCATTTCATATCATTGGGAGTACTCAATTAGAACTTTTAAGTATTTTTCTTGTTAAATATTTTATCATATAAGATTTAAGCTCAATACTATATCATTAAAAATTATTTAAAAGTGTAAATTAAAAAAGATATAATAGTGGTTGACCCAACCATGGTCCATCATCCTTCCCACTCTTTAATGCTTTTGTGGGGAAAGTAGGGCATGTAAGGTTGTTTTCAATTATTGGCACGGTTTTTGTTTTTGTTTTTTTTTTCTTTTCCCTTATTTAAAAAAAAATTTAAAAATCACTAAAAACACACAAAAGCCAATTATTTTTCACTAAACTTTTATTATTATTTTTTTTTTACTTTTTTAATACTTGTAGAACTTAAAATCTAAATATTTTCTTAAGAAATTTAAAAAATTCACCACACACACACACAAAAAAAAAAAAAAAGAAGTCAAACTAAAGGCCACTAAATAATAATAGTGGAGCTAACGTAAATTTAGGAAAAGAGATTCTTCCTTTCTCAATTTTTTAAAAGGGTAATTTTATTTTATATGCGGATTCCTCTCAATCTTTGAAAATAATCACAAAATTATTTTGTGATTTGTAGACTAGGTATGCTATTAGAAATTTCGTTCAAAACAACAATAAGTGTAAAACATATCAGAATATAAGGGAATTATATACTTATTTCTAAAGGAACAAATACAATTAGAATAAAGCACATGAGCTTAAAGTGAAGTTTATCTTCCAAAAAATGACGAAAATGTCTATCATAGGTAGGTTATGACATTTATGAGATTGATTATTTTAAGCCATAATTAAAAAAAATTAAAAAGTTATAACCAAACATTACAAAAGACAGAACCAATGGCATTTGAGATCATAATTAAAATAATATCATAACAAATATTACAATGAGTCTGTAGACACTCCATTTTTGACCGTCCTCAAGACTTGGACGCCATCGTTTGAACACTCGTAATCATCCATGTCGTGTTTGTTTTGAGTTCCCGGAGGTCTCGGTTACGCGCCTTGCCTCAGGATCTCTCGACTTGCTTGTTCTGTGCTTGGTTTTGCACCAAGGACTTGTGTGTTTTGTACCTGAGGGTAGAGAGTAGCTTGTTAGCTATCCCTGACACCACGGCCTTGGATTGAGGCCATCGGCCGTGCATTATTGCTACGGCCATTGGTGAAATATACTATTGCGGTCGGCACTTAGTGTGATCGGCCGACCATCTGTTTGGCCGATGCCTCCTTTTCTGGCCGGTGCCACATTTTTGCCTTTTTCAGGCATGGTACAAGCCAGCTGTCCAGCTAGAATGCACGGACCCTTCTCCCCATGCACGAGTGGTGGCTTTTTGCCCCTTTTGCACCTTTTGATCTAGCTTCTTGAGAAGCTTGGACCTTTGTCTTAGCTCCTCAAGAAGCTTGGACACCTGTTCCCAGCTTCCTAAGGAAGCCTTGGCCCCTTTGCCTTGGCTTCTTTAGGAAGCCTTGACCCTTTGTTAGCTTCCCTTGGAAGCTTAACCTTTTCCATTGTCTATATAAGGAGCCTCTCCCTTCCTTTGTCTTAGTTGAGCAAAAATCAGAGCAAAATATAGATATATATCAGATTACACTTTCTCTCTCTATTACTCCCTCTCTCTCTTTCATTTTGTGTGTGTTTTATAGCCTAAAAGTGT